CCGTCTCTACTAAAAATACAAAAACATTAGCTGGGCATGGTGGCCCGTGCCTGTAATCCCAGCTACTCAGGAGGTTGAGGCAGGAGAATTGCCTGAACCCAGGAGGCGGAGGTTGCAGTGAGCCGAGATCGCGCCATTGCACTCCAGCCTGGGTAACAAGAGCGAAACTCCGTCTCAAAAAAATAATAATAATAATAATAAAAATAAAAATAATAAAATTACAACCGTTGCTCATGCCTGCACTCCCAGCGCTTTGAGTCACTGAAGCAGAAAAATCACTTGAGCCCAGGAGTTTGAGACCAGCCTGAGCAACATAGTGAGACCTTATCTCTCCAAAAAGTGAAAAAATTAGCCAGGGGTCGGTCATGGCGCATGCCTATAGTCCTAGCTACTTGAGAGGCCGAGGCGAGAGGATCACTTGAGCCCAAGAGTTCGAGAACAGCCTAGGCAACACAGTAAGACCTTGTCTCTCCAAAAAATAAAGAATTAGCTGGGCATGGTGGTACATGCCTATAGTACTAGGTTACTTAGCAGGCTAAGGCAGGAGGATCACTTGAACCCAGGAGTTTGAGGTTACAGTTTATGATTGAGTTTATGGTTTTGTAGTGCCACTGTACTCCAGTGTGGGCAACGGAAATGAGGGGCTTGGACCAGGTGGTCCCTAAACCCTCTTCTCTGTCTTGGGTTTTGGAAATGGGAACCAAAATGATATATGGTCTGAAGTGCTGGTTAATGGCAGACTTGCCTCTACATTCTTGCCAGGTCCTTCCGACCAGACTTCGTGCTCATCCGGCAGCATGCATTTGGCATGGCAGAGAATGAGGACTTCCGCCACCTGATCATTGGCATGCAGTATGCTGGCCTCCCCAGCATCAACTCACTGGAATCCATATACAACTTCTGTGACAAGCCATGGGTGGTGAGTGAGGCCCCCTTTCCCCAAGTAAAAGGGTAGGATCCAGGCCCTACATCTCCCAGGTCTCTAGGAGGGACTCAGGATGCAGTAGGCCCCAACTAAGAGGATGTGAGAGGAGCTTCCCCTGGGATGTGGGGGAGGGCAGGCCATTGCAGTAGCACAGCATCACTTGTCACAGGCTGGGCACCTTTGCTACGGAGTGTACCCTTTGCCTCATGACAAAGTCATACAAGAATTCTGTGAGGAAGTCCTTGTAGGTCTGTAGGCTCTGCCCTTGGCCATGGGCTGCAATGATAAAAATGTTTGTTTCTTGCCTCCTAGAATGATCAAACTTTTGGAAAGGCCTGAGCCCAGTGGCAACCAAGGGAATAGTTCAACTCAGAGGTAGTGACAGAGTCCTAATAAGTGGTTCAGCAACCTGAAAGTTAAATTTATCCACATGCATGTGAATCAGATACTTATGAGCCGGAAGTGTACTTGGAGATCATTAAAGCATAACCCTAACTATGACCTTAACCCTTCATGATAGAGATAGGAAAATTAAAGAAGGAAAGTAAGGAGTAGAAAACCACTTACTTTAGGAGACCAGTTTCTGAGGTTTTTCTACATTAATAGTATTTAATCTTTACCTTACAAGGAAGATATTATTGTCATTATTATCACTTTTTACAGAGAAGCAAGACCTAGAAAGGATTATGTAACTTGCCAAAGTTATAGTGCCAGGATTTCTCTACATCCCACTGCCTCTAACATAGATTGAGGCTCCTATATAAGGAAGAAGCTGATCTGGTTTTCTCTTCCTTGGCCAATTTAGAAATCTAGGAGGGCATGGGAACTTTTAGGCAGATAGAAAAAGTGGTGCTAGGAGGGAGAGTGACTTATGATGGCTTTGGGGGCACTCTGGCTTCCCCTCAGACCACTGAGGGGACCCAGCTCCTCTGCTGGCTCTGCTGCTCCAGGCTGGCCCTCTCAGAAGGTAACACCTGCCCCTAATCACATCTTCATTGGCCTGCAGTATGCAGGCCTCCCCAGCATCAACTCACTGGAATCCATTTACAACTTCTGTGACAAGCCATAGGTGGTGAGTGAGGCCCCCTTCTCCCAGGTAAAAGGGTAGGATCCAGGTCCCTAGGAGGGACTTCTGGACCTCAAGATGCAGAAGGCCCTTCTTCTTGTTTTGCAAAAATCAAATTTCAGTTGTCACACACACTGGATTGCCAGGGTTCCTGCCACTGGTGGCTAATTGTGAAGTTTCTAAACTCCAAGCCTTTATACCACTCAGAGAGCTAGAGAGAGAGAGAGAGAGAGAGAGAGAGAGAGAGAGAGAGAGTGTGTGTGTGTGTGTGTGTGTGTGTGTGTGTGTGTTTTAAACCAAACAGATCTGTCACCTCTGCTCTTGATCTTTTTTTCCACCCTGGAAACTAACAGCTGTCTTTTTCCTTTGGAAGCTGGGGAGAGCTTGGAGTGTAAGAGAAAGAGCAATGGACAGGGAGTTAGGAGGGCTGGGAACTGCCAGGGTTAAGGAGAAGGATGGGTTCCCAAGCTCCCTTTGTTCAGCCTTTCCCTCTGCCTGGCCTGAGGCATCTAGAATCCTAGATTCTGCAGAAACAGGGTAACAGAGTGTGTTACTGGAGTATGTTGCCAATCACAGAAGAGTGTATGTGATACCTTCTCCAAGTGTCTTTTCTGGGGAACTCCCCTTTCTCCTCAGTCACATGTCCTTCCTACTGCACACATGTCCTAACCCACCTGCACTCCAGGTACTTGTCATAATTTTACTCTGTCTTAGCCACACAGGGTGATCCTGCTATTAGCAACTTTTTCTGGGTGATTTCACTACTTTTCAACCCTCTGACTGAACCTGTGTCCCAGTTTATTCATCTACAAACTGAGAATAATAGTAGCACCTGCTACCACTTTGACAGCCTGGTTGTTACAGGCTCCTAGTATATGGGTTCTATTAAAGAAATTTGTTCCCTGTTTTCTTTTCCTAAACTGTGCCAGAGGCCAGGGCAGGGAGAATGGGGAGAGCCGTGGCTAGGGCTTTGCTCCTCCCAGGATCTGGGATCTGGTGAGGGGTCACACTCTCACCCATTCACAATCTCAGCATATTGCCTTGGGCATCACATGAGAACAGCAGGGCTCCCTGGCCAGACCTCAAGTTCTCCCTTCAGTTTCACTAAGCAGCTGCCCTATGAATGACATTTTACATATTGTTCTCTGCTTGTTCGTGAGAGTGAACAAATTTGGTGACTGTGAGGGGAGGGTCCCTCTCAGTTGATTACTTTGGCCTATGTTTCTAAATATCTTTACTGTGACTGCTGTTGGTGTGTAGAGAGACTTTGGTTGGGTTAGAAAAGGCCCTATCTTGCACAACTCTGTCTCCGAGCACATTGCTGTCTCTGAAATTGGTCAAGACAGGCCACTGGGATTTGGGGAGGAGAAGTGGACCTGTCAATGAAAGCAGCATTCCAACAAAGCAGGAATGACACCACCCTTTATTGCTGCCAATTTATCTGAAATTCTGTCAGTCTTTCTGAGTTTTTGGAGACAAGTACACCAGAGTTAAATTAAATCATTTAATTTCCAGGAGTGATAGGCATATGGACACATTACTCAAATGGATCTGGAATCCCATTTTTTCCAAAAATTCTATCTTGATTCATTGGATGAGTGATTATAATGGACATATCTTCGTATCAATTGCCAAGAGCACCCCCACTCCCAAATTCATTCTTTTGTCTATGTGTAGAGGAAACGGCTCTTATCAGATGTTACATTAGTTTAATTGGTGACTGTATGCCTGTGATTTAATCTAAGTTTCCAGGGAGGTATGGGTTAGATGCCAAGCTCAGTACCTTGAGCAGACAGGGACTGCTGGAGAGGAGGGTGGGGTGAGCTTCTTGAGACCCAACAAAAGCCTGGGAATTGGCTGCCATTATTGTGTTGGCTATCCCAGGGCTCTGAGAGTCTGCCGCAGGCTGTCCTGGCATCTGTGTGGTGTCTCTGTAACTCCCCCACATGCTTTGGTGCCATGCCAGAGTGTGGGCTGCAGCAGGACAGAGGTCATTAGGCAGAGCTGGCATTAGCTCCCCAGGGATGCTGGAGAGCCTTGGGAGCTCAGGCAGGTGTCCAGAGGCAGAGCAGGAGTCCAACCAGGCCCAGATGGGCATGTAGGATGTAAAGGTCAGATGAGCAGGTGGGCAGAATCAGAGAAGGCAGAAAAGGTCTGAGGATCCGTTCTTGACAGTAAAAGCAAATTGAAGGACCAAGATGGCGAGGACAGGAGGGTACAATGGAGAATGCACCCAGCAAGGAAAAGAGACCTAAGTGCTCTCACAGTGCAGCCCTTACGCCAGGATGTGATCTGGGAGCCTGTACTTTCCTTTGCTTCTTTCTCCAGCCTCAATCTCAATTTGTCAAATGAGAGGGCTACTCTAGAAACTCTACAAAATCCCTCTTGACAATGATATCTTAACGGGCTTGAGAGTCCATGAATCATCCTTTCAGTCCTGGAGGGGGCCCTAGAGCTCTAGAGTTACCAATTGTTTGTTACTAAAGGGAGGGACCCGGAATTCCAGTGTTTTCCAGCATTTCAAAAATAACAAAATTATATCTGTACCCATAGAAGGACCACAACAGGCAATCACTTAAACTGCAGTTCGATAGCAGAATTTGGGAGGAAATATAATAAAGGGATATTCTTTGTGGTATAAAGTTTGAGTAGCTGATCAAATTTAACCCTGTCATTTTATATATGAAGAAAGTGAGATCCAGAAAGAAAAAATTATTTGCCCAAGGACACCTAGGAAGTTAATGGAACAAGTATCAGAAGATTCTGGTTTTCTAACAGCCCAGCTCCAAGCTTTTACTGCCCCAACTTCCTCGCCCCTCCCTGGCTCATGTGCTGGCATCGCTTATAGAGAATAGGACCTGAGCTTCTGAAAAATGTTCTAGCCTTCCTTTCTCTGATAAACAGATTTCATCTAACAGGTTTCCCTTCTAGCCATCCCAAATACCAGGTAGCTTGGAACATGAACTAATCCAGTAGCCCTAGAGAGAATACGTGTTTCCTCTGCTGCTGAAGCACTGGGGATGGGAGTATAGGTATGTATGTTACTGGATTGAGCAGGAAAGTCCTGTGTTTCCTGTGGAAAGGGCATAGTTTTTGCAGAGCTTGACAGGCAGCTATTTGCAGGAATAAGGAGAGGGTATGGATTGGAAATGAAGGGGCTTGGCTGTGAACCTGTCTCAACTACTGTGTGACCTTGGGCAAGTGACCTCTCTGGACCTCAGTTTCTTCATTTATAAAATGGAGGGGCTAGGGGATCCCAACTATGCACTGAGAAAGCCTTTCAACCCTGACATTGTAAGTATGTGTATTTTGTCCCTTCCTCATGGAGCTATTTCAGTTTCTCATACGTTGGCAAAGGGTCCAGTGAGTTTAGTCCCTGGTTGGGTAGTAAGTCCCAGAAAGACTGGCCTGTCTATTCCACATACCATGACCATTTTATCCTAATCTTCCTGAAGATCAGCTTCATTTTATGATGCTTCCTGCTCAAATTCTTGGTGGCTGCATACTGCTTCCCAGAAAAATCCATCATTCCTTTGCCTGGCATTTGAACTTCCAAGACTTGGCCAGCTTCATGCCTTGCCATTACTTGGAGATGCAGATATGGAAAGTTAGAGACCCCACTTTCAATCCCAGCTTCACCTTGCAGTTCTGTGACTTTAGGCAAGTTTTGTAACCTCTCTGGACCCCATATGTAAAATGAAGATGTTAAATTAGCTAGTTCATCAATTTGATTTGAGGATTGAATGAAACATCATTAAAATTTAGAAAGGTAATTGAATTTTAGCTCACTCTCTTTTCCTTCCCCAATTAATGCATATCATATCCTTGGGAATAGAAATTGTACACTTCTTTTATATCCTCACAGTGCTTAGCATAAAGTCCTCCACAGAGCAAATGCTCAATAAATATTTCATGGGTTGATGTTCTGTCTCTTTCAGAAGTTATCTGTGATAAGCTGAAACATTTGCTTTTCTTTTGCAGTTTGCCCAGCTGGTCGCCATCTACAAGACACTGGGAGGAGAAAAGTTCCCCCTCATTGAACAGACATACTACCCCAACCACAAAGAGATGGTAGGTGGCTCAGTGGGGACATTAGTCTTTCTGCTGTTTTCATTTTGCACTTAGCCACCTGGTCACTGTGGGGCTCTGACAAGGGCCTCAGTGTCTCAACCCCAAAGACTCCACTGGGGTGGAACTGTAGAACTTGTGCGACTGGAATAGCTAGATTTTAGCCTCTTGTCAAATTCTAGATAGAATAGGGAAGAACAGGAGTAAGGGCACTTTAATCAAGCTGAGAGAATAATAAACTTCTGGACCAGCAATCAGATCTCATTGCTTTGAGTCCCAGCCCTGGCTCTGCAAATTGTCATTGAATAAGCTACATTTCCTCAATGTGTGCAGTTTCCAATAAGACAGTCAAGAGGGCATAATTATCCCTGCACAGGATATTCTAATATGGTACATACACAATTTAGGTGAGATTCATTAAGTAATAGCCTCTGGGAGAGTGTGAAGCATTCTACTAGATGTGAGGCATTGCTCCTACTCTTACTATTCCCCTGACTCTCCCATTCACCTGGCTTCCATGACTGTAATAAGGCTGAGTTAACACTGTGCCTTCTCTGAGGCCATCCTAGGAAGTTAGAAGGAGCAGAGAGATGGGACGGTTGGTTGGTAAGGAGGCTATTGGCAGTGTTTTTCCTCTGCAAGGACCTGGAGCTCAAAATCCTTTCTTCCCTGTCCCCATACCCTCTGCCCTGCACTGGTGTGATCAGTTGGTGATCTTGCTTAACCCACCAGTGGAAACTCCCTGCAAAGCATTCCAAGTGAAACAGAGATCATGTTTGTCCCCACCTCCCCACTTCCTTGGTCAAAAGGGGTCTCCGTTTGCACCATTTCTGCAGGTCAAGAGCCATCTTCTGAAACATTGTGCATGGCCCTGCTGACCAGTAGACCACATATTAAAAAACAATCTTGGGCCTTAAAAAGAGCTGTCTCTGTCATCTTTGCCAGAGCTTCCCCCAGGAGAGACTCTGAAACTTTAAGCTCTTGTCCTTAATAAATTCTAGAGGCAAATATCAGGACTTTTCCTTTCAGGGTAAGCCAGGAAGCCTCACAGAGGCTGAGAAGCCCTAAGGGTCCTTTGGTTGGGGAATCTCAGGGAGCCCAAGACACAGTGGTGAGGACTGAGCTGAAGGGTGCATAGGGCTCTCTGAGGATCAAAGCTGACTTTTTCCTGCTGTAGCACCTAGCAGGGCTGGCTGCTGGAAAAAAACTGCCACAATTGCCAGGTATATTCCCTATCTACCATCCTTTCCCCTCAAGGGCCTTTGTGTTATTTGTCTCCGGTGCTCTATCCTGAAATTTGCCCTCAAGAGAGGACCACCACTCTGTGGTGTCAAAAACCAATGATGAGTGATTTCAACTCTATAAGAAAAAGGTTTTGTGGCTTTTAAAAAGTTCTGAAATAGGAATGAAGATGTTAGTAATTTAAAAGAGACAGAAGAGAAGCCTTGTGGACATCAGTTGAGGGTATTACGAATAGTTAACCTGGAGAAGCAGTACCTATTCTGAGACTGTAAGTGCATTCTTATTCAAAGAGGCGTGCTAACCAGGTGGGACCCTCTGCCAGAAATGGTATAGAGGGGATAACAGCATGGGGAGGAAGGTTAGGCCATTCTAGCTCTCACACTGAGTGATTCTGTGTCCCTCAAATGACTCCCCCAACAGATGAAAGTGTATCAGAAGACTAGGATGAGTTGAGACAGGGGAAGTAGAGGATACACAGCCACGGTATGTTGTTCTTTTCATTCCTGCCAGTCAGCCTGTTTATGATGCTGTCAACCCACCTTCTGATACTATACATCACAAGGATATACCATCTCATATGTATGACATTCACCATTTCTCCCTTAACAGATTGATAAAGGCAAAAGAAAACACATTTTCCTGGGGAGGAAAGTGAATAGTCCTGGCTTTAGAAAACAAAGTAAGCCAGAAGAAACACTTGCAGTAACAGGTATAAGGCTAGACTAATGGGGTTTGGGAGGCAGGGGTGACAGGCAGAGGGCAGGGTAGAAAAGTCATGCTACCTTCCCTAGCCCTTGACAGGTTCTAGGCCAGGGTCCTGGACACAAGCTATAACATGCCTGCCCCTTCCCTCCCCTGACAGTGACCAGACCGTCCACTTGGCACTTCATATTAGCTGGCAGCAAGGAGTGAGGTGGTGATGGCCAAAGCTCCACAGGAACAGAGAACTGGCTTGATCTTCAGGACTCTTGAAGGGATGTAGTAGTCACTGATCCCTACTAGGGCTGGATGATGTCAACAAACTCCTTCCTGAGAAGCAGGTGGCCCCGGTACCAGCTGCAGGTGCCGTCAACATGCTTCATACAGACATAATGCTGAGCCTGGTACCCATAGAGCTTTTGTTCCAACAGCCAGTCTGTCCAGAGGCACTCGTTAGGGGCTGAGATGGTACAAGGCACTGTATAGCAGGTGGTGATCTAGAGTCATGGCCACACAACATCAAAGTCAGTAGGGTGTCCTTCTTTTTCCATTGCTGCCTTTCAGACTCCTACATTCCCTTACAGCCCATCTCAAATGTCCCCTGTCATATGAAGCCTTTCCTGGTCCCCAGTCTTCCTCTGAATTCTTCCCCAAGTTTCCCCATGTTCAATATTGCCACATAATGCCATCTCTGGAGTCAGACAGCTCTGAGGGTCTTTACCACTGACCTTGAGCAAATCACTTCACTTCGCAGGGCTTTCATTTCTTCACCTTAAAATGGAAATCTTAATTCTTCATAAATATATTTTGGAGACTAAATTAAACATTTGCAATAAATTTACTATTACAGTGGCTGACAAAGAATAGACTCTCTTTAAAGGGTGGCTGTATTACAGTTATCTCAGTCCGCCTCCTGTGATGGCCACCGTCCCAGCCAAAGTATAAGTACTTTGAGATCAGGGCCTACAGACCATGTTGCTTTCTCATCCCCAACTTCATACAGTGCCTTATCCATGGCAGATCTCAAGTACAGTCTAGTAAGTGAATAAATTCATGCATGAATTAAGGCTCAGGACCCTTCCCCCATCCCCAAAGACTTTGGAAATGGACATTCCCTTACTTGGCAGGCACAGTTCAAATGGTAGTGATGATTCAGACTTTCCCTCTGCACCAAGGACAGGTCCTCCCAGGGCTCGATGTAGTTGCACAGATGGATGAATACTTTTCCATCACTGAGGACCTGACCTTTGAGGGGAGATGGAGGAGAGTCAAGCATCAGAATTCTGCTCCTGGAGCTCAAGTGGCCCAGGTTGGGCCACTTGAAGAGCCCAGAGTTACAGCCTCTCTAATGACTTTTTGGTGGCAGTGGTGGCATGGGGCTCAATGAAGGGATCAAAAAATAAAAATCACTGTAATCTTTGTAGCTAAAAGACAAACAGATTATGTTTGTACGAGGCAGAGTTGTGGGATCTGGTGAAGGCCTTTTCGTTTAGCATGGTACAGAGAGAAGAATGTGGGCTTTAAAGTCAGAGTCTGGGTGGGAACACCCTCTTTCTTCTCTGTCATTTACTAGCTGAATGATCTTAAGAAAGTTGTATAACCTCTCAGCTGGAAGATGAAAATAATAAGGTCACATTAAATAAGAGAATGTCTATAAAGTTCCCAGCACAGTTGTGGGCCCATAGAAGATATTGAATAAATAATGGGCTCCTTCCCCTTTCCAGTCCTTCCCAGTATCTGCACAGGCCAGTCTCTACCTCTAGGTTGGTGAGTCTTTCTCCTTCCCCATAGGAAAGTTCCCACTTTTTACCTGTGAAGCTACTTTTCACCTTTCAGAGACCCTTTTCAGTACCACCACAAAGCCATCCCTGACCACCTGGCCCATACCTCTTTTAGAACCTCAGCCACTCAATCATTTACTCACTGAGCAACTACCTATGATCTAGTACCAGGAATACAGATATAAAAATGACAGGATCTCTGCTCCCAAGGAGCTTACAAATTAGTAGGGTAGATAGATAAGTAGAGGAAAATTATACTGTTGTGTGGTTCTATACAAAGTACGGTATAAGAACAAAGGAACATACAATTATTTCCATCTATGGAAGGGGTGTGGGTCAAGGAAGGTATCTCAGACGAGATTATGCTTGCCTTGAGCCTTGATGGGATACGTAGGAGTTCACTTGCCAAACAGGTTGGGGGAAGGGCTTCCTGTCATTGGGACTATCGTATGCAGAGCAGGAGGACACAGCCTGGCAGCATACCTTCTGCAACTGCAGGTAGTTGAGTTCACATCTTGGGAAAATGATGGACTGGGAACTGGCATTGACAAATGGCAGAAGACAAAGCTATAGAGGACAGCAGTGTTCTGGTCACAAAGAGCTTTCAACACCAGGCAAAGGAGCTCGTGCCTTCTCCTAAAGGGCCTGGGTGCCATTGGTGACTTTTCTGTAGACTTGCTTTTTTGTTATTTATCCCAAACCATAGTTAGACTTGACCTCCTTGAAGGCAGAAAACGTGTTTCCTATTTCCCCTGATGTACCTCCGTGCCTAGCAGTGGGCAAGACACACAGAGGGTAAGTGTTTAGGAAAGAGGTGGGATAACAGTTTGAAAGGGCCTGGTCTGCCAGACCTAGGAACTGCAGGGCTCAGTGGTGTGTCCTTCTCTGCCTCTCCCATCCAGGAGCTCCTCAGTTCTATACAATTTCTCATCCTCAGAGCTGGGAAGCCTCCAGTGCCTATTACTCATAAAGAGCCATGTCTGAACAGTGAACTCTTTTAAGGACTTTGACTTGTTACTGAATCTCCACTGTCCTCACCAAGGCATGGCAGTGACTAAATGGTCATTCATTGCCAAATGTGTGGATAAATAGTGGAATCCCTTCACCTATTCTCTCCCCTACTGTGCTTTTTCTTTCCCTTGCTTTCTTTCTAAATACTGTTTTATCTTTTCGAGCCAGTTTAGATCCCACTTATACAATGAAGCTTTCCTGATAGTTCTCAACTACCAAATAGTTCCTTTCCCTGAACTCCAAAATATTTTAGTATTGCATTCATTTATAGAGTCACATTGTTTTGTGATTCTTTAACTGTTTTATCCCAACCAATTCAGTAATGAGGAAAGTTTACAGAGACAGAACTGTGTTAGACTCAAGCTCATGTTAGGTTCTGTGCAAAGGGCAGAGCTGACCTGCAAGGAGCAGTTTCGGAGAGGAGATTTTGACTCAAGTTGCCAAAAATCTTATGCTATTTTAAACTATTTGAAAATGGAATCAGCTGCCCTACAGTGGGTGAGCAACCTGTCCTTAAAATAGTGAAACAATTGGCCAGGATGACTGTCATGAGAACTCTTACATTTAAAGGGAGGTTACAAGCTTCTCCCTACTCTGTTTTATGCCCAAGAAAATGCCACCTGGCTCAGCCTGCTGCCCAAGGAAGACCCTGGCTCCTTTCTCACTACCTCCCATAGGGCAGAATCTATTATGTTAAGGCCAGTTGCTGTTCTTTAACTTACCAGTCAAGAGATACTGCTTCTGGCTGTTGGCCTCTAGTTTCACACCACAGAGGGAAGAGTCAAAAGGCGTATAGATATACTGAACATCCTTGACTTTCTCAAACCCTTTGAACATCTGACAGGCAATTACAAAAAAAAAGCAACATTGGGTCAGCGAGTGTACTTTGTATATTAACAGGCAAAAACTTCTGATTTCTCAGCCTAAAAATTTAAGCAAAAGTCTAGTTCAAAATTTTGTGTATACAGATGGCCCTGCTAGATTATTTTCTCTCTTTAAAAAACGAAACAAAACAAAACAAAAAACTAAACCTTGGTTTATTCCGGTAGGTACCTGTAGTGGCTCCATATACCAGCAGCTGTGGGACCAGATGGACTCCAAGGCCCTCCCCTGCAATATCCCTGGGAATCAATGGGCCCTGCCTCCAAATCTCATCCAGTTCCACTTCAGCATCTAAACCCAAAGATCACTGAGCCAGGCCACCTGAAAGCTACCCGCCCTCCTAGAATATAGAGCCCATTTTTCCTCCATCAGCCCTAGGGGCTACACATCCCAGCCTGCCCCCATGTACCTTTATCTGTTTGATTTCATACCGGAGCATTTTTTCAGTATCAGCAGGGTCTGCACTGGCAGGAACTACCTTCTCACTGGAGATTTTGGCCCGAATCACTGCATAGAAAAGGGAAAAGGGGAACCTTTAGCAGCTGGTGGGGGCAATATACCTGAGGTCTGGATGATCCCCAGGGTTCCTGAAGAAGTATACAGGGCAATTCTTGGTTTTGGTGTTGTCAGGTTGTAAGCACGTGATGTGTGAGAAGGGGGACCTGGGAATACCTCCTCTGCAGTCACTTAAAGTTCCAAACCCCTCAGGTTTATTAGGTCCTGTAGCTCTTTGTGGCTTTTGAACCAGTTAGTCTGGAGAGCTCTAGTTCTCCATAGCCATGTGTGCAGTGGGGCACAGGGTAGGAGTCAGAGTAGAGGAGGGAAGTGGAGCCCTTTTAGGGTAGTTGGTGTGAAGTTTATTGCTGTGGTCAAGGCCTCTCAGCCCGCCTACAGTTGATATTAGTAAATGTTTATTGAATTCATAAGTGTTCTGATGCAGCACTGAGGTGTTGCATCTCTTCCATTTGAACATTAATAACCAAAAACTATTGATGAAGCTCTTCCTCTGTGCCTGGCCTTGCATTAGACACTAGGACCATAGATGTGATTAAGACAGGGTCCCCATCCTGCAGAGCTCTTGATCTAGTGGAGGGCACACTAATAAAGAACAATAGCACAGCATAGTTAGGAACACCAAGACATTAGAGATGCTGAGGCCGCACCAAGGAGCCAGGAGCCTGCAGAGAAGCAGAGAGACCTAAGTTAGACCTTGAAGGAAGAGTAGGAGTTTGCCAGGAATTTAAGGGTATGAGGGAGGACATTCCAGGCAGAGAGAAGAGAAAGGACAGAACGTGTGGGTTGCAGTAGGGGCTTGGTGGCAACCTAAGTTATAGGCCTGGACAGACATGGGTGGTTATAATGCAAGCCCTCTCCCCTCCTCTGTCCCCAATCCAGTAGTTCAGAATAATCATCAGATAGCTCCGGTGACACCTTGTTCAGTGATACTCTGTAACTGCTATATGGCCAGAGTGAGGGAGGTCGCTGTAGAAGTCCCTGACACAATCTTCATTTCCTTATGAATCAGTCAGGTTCTGTGCTTGCAAAGTTACTATGGCGCCTGGTCCTTCCTGACCCATCAGCCTCAGCAAGAGGCAACCAGTGCAGAATTTGAGCGCCTCCCTTTTCCTCTGGACTCCTGGTTTACTGCTGGCAAGATACCAATCCCCCACAGTCACCCCCTGCTGTGGACCTCACAGACCTCGGACTCACCCAGTGCTGAGTGGCAGATGTGCTGCTGAGGGTGCGCAGGGGCGCAGCTGCACGCCTCGCCCAGCCCAGGGGGCCGCAGCAACGCCAGCAGCCGCAGCAACAGCGCCCAGCTCGGCGCGGGCCGGGGGCTCCCGGGCATGACACTGCAGAGCCCCAATTGAGCCTGTGAGGTCTGTCAGACCGTGCGGCCCCAACAGGGCTCCTTCCTAACGTGTTGCGTCCCTCGCCCCAGGCTTTATGAGGTGGCCCTAAGGGCCAATCCCGCCCCAATGGGCTCCTCCTTCCTTTGGCTCTAGGCCACCGCGGCAGCAGGACCCGAGGCTCTTCCGACCTGCATACTCAGTAAGATGCAGAGGGGAGCCGGAAAGAGGCTCGGGTCTCTGTTACCCTGCCTAAGTCATGAAGCCGTCTAGAAGTAGAGGGAAAGCACTGGAAGAGGGTATGGTGTCAAGGGCAGAAAGAGCCACAAAGATAAATGCATAAGGACAGAAAGCCTGAGGGCTGTGATTCAGGCAGCAGCGAAACTCCATCTCAAAAAAAAAAAAAAAGAATAAGGCACGGACAGAAAGAGTGAGACAGGCAGAGTCCGAGAGAGGCCGACAGAATTACAACAGGCAAAAAAGACAGTGACAGAGAAGGACGGACCCCTTGCTGAGCTGCACGCTGGGAATGAGACAAGCTACTCAGGGCTTCTTTCAGCTGCAGGAAGTGCTTTCAATGCCCTATTTATGAGGCTCCAAAGCAACAGCAAACAGTAATGGAACAGGACAGAGAAAGTTGGGGTGTGTGTGTCTTGGCTCTGTCGCCTGGGGGGGTGGGGAGAGATGTCAAAGAAGCAGCCAGTGCTTTAGAAACCCTTTCTCACTCCCAGAGCCACAGACTCTCCAGATAGCTGGGGACAGCACTCCTGGTGTGGGTACAAAACATAAGGTGTCCTATCACTTAGGGCAAACCTTGGACCTCAAAGCCCTCTCGAGGCCCTAGGCTATACTGATTTTTTTTGCATGTCTCAGCTAGGTGGCTCACACCTGTAATTCCAGCACTTTGGGAGGCCAAGGCTGGTGGATCACCTGAGGTCAGGAGTTCAGGCACAACCTGGTCAACATGGTGAAACTCCATCTCTACTAAAAATAAAAAAATTAGCTGGGCATGTTGGCAGGCACCTGTAATCCCAGCTACTCTGGAGGCTGAGGCAGGAGAATTGCTTGAACCCAGGAGGCGGAGGTTGCAGTGAGCTGAGATCGCACCACTGCACTCCAGTCTGGGCAAGAGAGTGAGACTCCATCTCAAAAAAAAAAAAAAAAGAAGAAGCAGGGGACTTGGGGGTGACTGTGACCAGAGCCTTGTCTGCTGTTTGACAGAGCATAGTGTTCCCAGCCTCCAAATCCCAAATTTCCATGGGATTATTGCTATGGAATGTTTCCACATGGTGCTGGACTGGATAGTCGGAGGCTGGGTTCCAATTCTGGCTGTCACTAAGCTTTGTGACTTTTGCCTCTCAGGGCCTCAGTTTCCATTCCATAAAGTAGAGTTGAACTATATGATTTCTGAAGCCCTTTGAAGTTCTTTTTCCAAGCCTTGACTGACCTCAACCAGGAATGCTGAAATCCTCGGGCCAGATACCCCCAGTATCTGTTCAAATATTAGTTCCCACAGGAATCTGGCTTTTCATTTGGGTCAGCATTATTTCCTTCAAGGGATACCTTTTCATTTTGATGGTGTTAGTGATGTTTGAAAAGAAGGGAATTGAAAGAGAGCTGAGTCTAACTGAAAAATGAAATGCCCAGGTTGGCATCCAGGCTGGTTCTTTATACAATGTCCAGACCAAGATAGAGGCTGATGTACCATTTGAAGGGAGCTCAGAAAGCATCCCATCTGATCTCTTCAATGGACAGATGTGAAGGCTGAGGCTCAGTGAGATACAGTGACTTGTAGAAAGTTTATGGCAGAGAGGACTAGAGTACTCGTCTCCTGACATCTAGCCTAGTGCTCCTTCCACTTCCACAATATTACTTCTTCCATCACCATTTTGTAACAGCTTGAAATCTTGCCCTTAGAGGATACTTCTTTTAAGTTTTTGTTGCTCCTCTGTTAAAGTATGGCTACCTCAATGTAGAGTTTGCGCCTCTAAGGATCTCTCTGTTTATAAACATACTGAATTATTCTGTCAGCTCTCTTTCAAACCCCAAGCTGGGCAGAATTGGGCCTTCACATGCAAAGCCTTGTTTGATGGTGAGTTTGTGGTATTGGTGAGCAGTGAAGAGTGTGAAAGAGGGAGAAAACAGCCAGGATCATTACAGGAATGCTGGGCCTTTGAAGGTTGTAGGACCAAGAGGTACATGATGACAGGGACATTAAGATGCCAAAGATGCATTTCTAAAATATAATGCAGGTTTATTAAGGTACATCTACATATAATAAAATTCAGCCTTTCAGAGGTACTTTCTTTTTTAAAATTCTCTTTGTCTGAGGACTAATCCTGCCCAGGTTTTGTCTAATGCAGAGAAGATTGACAGTTGCATTTTAAAGATGCAGGGTACACCAAATAAGAGAACAGGGTTCTTTTAGCTCTGCCACTAATATGCTGTGTGACCTTGGAAAGTCACTGTCATTCCATGGGTCTCAGTTTTTTAATCTGTAAAGCAAGTAGATTGGGCTAGTTATTTAAAGAACCCTCTCAAGGGTATTTTCAAGAAAAATATTTGTGGGATTCCACAGAGAGATGGGCATACTCTGACAGTTTATTTCTTTCTCCTCTGCTTTCAGCTGACACTGCCCACGTTCCCTGTGGTGGTGAAGATTGGCCACGCTCACTCAGGCATGGGCAAGGTGAGGCAGAGGGGCTTGCTGTTACTTCAGGGTTGAACCAAGAAGGGCAGTTTTCAGAGTGCCCATTTGTGAACTGCTCTTCTACCTCTGTCACTGATGAATTATTTCCAAAGAGAAGATGGTTTGCCACCTCTAAAGCCATGAGTGTCACCCAACCAGACCTCTTTCAGGAAGCAGAATGCAAGCCACCTGCCTGGTACTCTGGGTCCTTTGCAGCAAGTGTGGCCCCTGAGTTCTGGGAAGGGAAGCTAGGGAGAAGGGGCCTTCTGGGGAGATGTGGCACCCAGATTAGTGTCTGGATTGGATACATTTTGGTAGATTTGGAGGCTCAGGGCCATTGTGACTTCTCAGAGTGTGTGTGTGTGTGTGTGTGTGTGTGTGTGTGTGTGTGTGTGTGTG